CAAGTGCTGGAAAAGAGTTTAATCCCTCTGGATTGTGCAGTGATAAAACAGACAGAGCGCCTTAAGATGATATAATTTAAATTGACTAGGTTAGAATTTGCTTTCAATTGTAACATCATTTATGAGTTCAGAATTTTTCCTTTTTTGTATTTCTAGTAATAATGATGTCTGCCATTCTCAGTTACTGCCACCGTAATGACAAAGTGCAGGAGCACCTTGTACCAGCACCATGCGGGACAGGAGACCTTACCACTTGGTAACTTTCATTACCCAATGAACAGCTCAGAAACACATTTTCTTTTTTCATATTTTATAACATTCTGAAAAACTTAGTTTTAAATTTACCCTGCACACAGTGTTATTTGTTACCTAAGTTTAGACAGAAACACAAATTAAAACTCTTAGCCCTATATCAAGGTTAGAGTTTAGAATCTCTTCAGCTAATGTCTATTTTTTTCATGAGGCTAGAAAGTTTGTGGCATTAGAACAAGCATATATTTCTACAATGATGGCATCTACGGCTTAAATGTCACCTTTTGAACGTGCTGTTGTGTTTTGTTCTGCTCATTTGTGTAGTGTTTTTTGGGTTTTGTTTAATTAAACACTGAGTTTATGGAAAAGAGTGCAGAAGTAAGTATAGTTGCTACAGTTTGGAAAGTCTACATTTGTGAGTTTTTCATAGTTTCATGCAGAAAACGTGAAACTGATTAATAAGAATGAAGCGTAATTATACAGTGAAAAAATTAGTTGTCTTTTAAATGAAGTACTGTTATGTTTCTTATAAGGGGAAAGTGTCAAAACAATGTAAAAATTACTTGCAATCAATCATTCAGACAACTTTATTCCCATTTTTTAAGCAGGATTTGTTTTATCTAACAGGTTTGTGTGGTAAAGTTAAATTTATTTTCTTAAAATACCCCGTCATTTTCAACTACCAATGTATTCACTATATTTGCATTGCCCTAATGATTGTATAATAAGGGAAACAGTTGTGTTTTATATGACACTCAAAGGATGTTTGTAAATCATAATGTCAGCTCATTTTGTATATCACATTGTAACACCCAATGGTGATTCGGTTGGAGGAGATATCCAGTGGGCTGAGATATAAAGGGGAATGATTTAAAACTTGTGGGCATCTAAATAAACTCCGATGTACAGATTGCTTTCCCTTAATTTTGTTAGCAGAGTTTTAAAGCACTAATCACTGTCCTTTCCAGACTTGAACTCTGTGATGGTGCTAAAAGGAGAAAGAATGTTTGCCCGGAGATAGATAGCCCGGCGTCAGAGTTGTAAGAAATACTGCATCTGCACTTGGACAAAATCATACATTCCAGTCTGTCACGCACACCAAGTTCTGAAGCTCTGTGAATGGAATTAAAGACAGTGCAGGGTTTGAAAAGAGGTTTTTTTCCCATTTACCTTGTAGTAGTGAAGCCTTTTGTCAGGATGTTTTCTGGAAGCTCCCAGCCTTGTCAGGATGATATTCAACAGGAGCACAGAAGTTCACATTTTTGCACTGCACAGACTAGAACTGAAATGCAGATTAATTCAGTAAACCCTTTCAGAGCATTTTATACAGCATTATGTGTCATTATCTCCAGAGTGATACGGCTTGAATTGTTTACACAAAGTCACAATATTGACATAGACCTGTTTAATGTTGCATTTTAAGCAGTTACCCTGACTGATGAACTTTCCCTTATGAAGCAAATTGATCACTAGTCACATCACATTTACCTTCAGAGTACTCGGAAGCTGCAGGCCCAGCTCAAAGAGCACATTGAGGAGGAAAATTTAGTTCGCTGTGTTCATCTGTGACCAAGGTAAGAACTTTCAAAACCTCTTTCTTGATGAAATTTACTATTCCCTATAAACCTATGGGCACTACAGTGAAAATGTTGAAAAAAAATCAAATTTATTTTAATAATTTCTGTAAAATCTTCTCTTCATTTGTGAGATAGACCTTCTCTCTGCTCAGAAGTTAAGAACAATAGTATTTATGGGAGGAGGACGACCGGTATAACTTCTGTAAAAGGACGCTTGCCGCTGGTTAAGCGACTTAGTTGAAACTCTTACTATAGGCAGTTGGATTTTTGTAGCTTTTTCTACTTAATTTATGCTGTAAAGGAATATTTTCTCTGCGTGTAATACTTCTGGTAACAAAAAATAAGTGAGTGAGAAACAGAAAATGAAAATTCCAGCTCTGGTAAAATGTATTTCCTACCTCCTTTTGGCAAAAATCTTGGGCTAGGTACTAAACCAGAACATCGTATTGTGCCTTGTGAGGGAAGTGACTTCTCTGTTCTGCTCCCTGTGTATTTGCAAACTCACCTACTGAGATAAAACAAGTGCTACTCTTCCTTGATAGTGGCTCCTAGTTGGAGACCACACTGAGCCATGCTAGTCACTATTAAAGGCCAAAGAAAATCCAAACTATTCCCGGCAAATGCTGAATAATATCTGCCTAATTCACAGGAATGTATGGGAGATTTATTAGTGTCTTTGTGTTCCCTCACAGACCTAAATAACAAATACCTTCTGGTAATATAATATATCTTCTCCCAAGAGCCATCAGTGAGTTTTCAGGTATAACTGCGTACAACATTTAATTAATAACATCTTTTTAATCAGATTGCAATGACAAACAAAATATCATCTGTTTTTTTTCTATGGCAGACAATAATGTTTTACAAAACCAAAGGTAAAGTGTTAGGAGTTATTACACAAATGGTGGAGTAGATTGTAACAGAATTAAATTGTAACTCCTACGAGCAATATGGAAATGTCTCACATCTAATGGGACTTACATAATCATCATTAATGAGAGGATTTTAAAAGTGCCCCTGATACAGTTTGATGTAAAATTTTAAATGAGTGTTGTGGTAAGACATCATTGTTTGAGGAACATATTCTGCCATCAGAAATACGTATCTGCCAACATGCTACTGTTTCTCTTAAGGTAGATCTTTGGCGTTCATCCAGATTTAAACTGGTGTAAGGAAGACTCACGGTGGTATAAATTAAAAAAAAAAGAAAAACAGCCTGAGGTGTCTGAATGCTTCATATTCAGTTCTTCTCTCGTACTGGTAGAAGTCAGCAATAATTCTCTTTCAGCTGGCCATCGACCTCAGAGAGGTGTTGGTGAAGTGCTGGTATTGTTTGTAATCTGCAAATATTACTTGCAGGTGCCAACAGGAGTATCTCTTCCTACTAGCTGCCAGTGAGCAGTCCCACACATGCAAGTTTAGGTATACCCCAGAAGGGTGTATATCAATAACCTGATAAAAAGGGTCCAAAAAAAAAAAAAAAAGGCCCCCAAACCCAAGTGTGTGTCATTTCAATTCTTTACTGCTACTTTGGCTGTGCAGTGAGAGGGGTGCGTGGAATTCTGATGCGAGTGGATTTCTGGCTGGGAGCCAAGTCTTTGCTTTGCCTCACACTTGAATTCTTTTTCTTCCTAAATTTGTACATGAGATTGTTTTATTTAAGTGGTTTGATTGGAATTGAGCGGTGTTTGGAAGCAAGTCTTATCACGTCATTCTCTTTGAGACTGGAGTAGCTACAACAGGATCTGGAGCAGTTCAGGCTTCTTCCTTGTCTCTACCCTGACTGGGGGAAACCACTTTGGGAAGAGGCATGGAGTTACCTAGCTGGCTCACCTGCATTTCTGAGGTACTCTGGTTACAGCCAGAGGCTTTCCAGGGCTGTGGTGGTATTTACCCTGGATACAGCAGTAGATCCACGAACCCTCTGACAGTGGCTTTTGGTTGCCATTCTCTGTCCTGTGGTTTCTTTCAAATGACTGGTCGTGTCATCCGTACACCATGACGTATTTACCTGTCCCAAAGCTCTTTATTACTGGATGCCTGTGTGGTTACATGTGTACCAGGCACTTCAGGGAGGAGAAGCTTAGCGGGTCCGGCACAGTCACTCCATCACTCAAACACAAAGCAGAGAGCAGGAGCTTATCATGAAATTCAACTAGAGTTGAAAAATCCTGTTTTCTAATAATGCAGTTGACTGATTGCTGCTTGATTAACTCCAGCTTTGCTTTTTCTGTCACAAGAATTGCAGATGTATTTGATTTAAACTGGTGCTTCTTTATACTAGTTTTGATGGATTCCCTTTCATGTCAGTAATAAGTATGCAGATTTGTTTTCCTACCTGAATGTTATGCAAAATTCTCATCCGGGTGCTAGAATGTGTGGGCTTTGCTACTGTTGTGCCTCTAGACTCAAAGCAGGGATTTCTTCACTCAATGTCTACGAAGTTAGAATCAGAGAATCACTGAAGTATGTTCAGGTAAGCACTAATTTAAGGGTAAACTCTAACCTGTTAAGATAAGAGTTAAGGAGAACTAGATATGTATTTTAAAAGTACGTTTGCAGCCTCAGAGGCGATTTTTTCAGCCTGACCACAGGTTTGGCATTTATTCACATTTGTATTAAATCATTAGCTGATTAATTCACTGTTTATCCACACACATTTATTCTGTGATTTGCAGGATAGAAGACAGCTTTGAGAACTAGGTAGCTGCTGCATTGAAATCATGCCAAAGAACAAGTTTTCATGCAAAAATAGTGTTTGTTAGAAACTACCACAGAAGCACCACCAGCACTTTCTCAAAATCAGAAGCAAATACCTCTTGTGTGGTCCTGGACAATGCACTTTTGACATATTTTTCTTTTCTTTTTTTTTTTTTTAAACTGGCACAGTGTAGCAAGTCTTTG